CACAGCAACAGAGTAGGGAGGAAAATCCTGCCCTGCTAAAAATGCTGCAGGGTTTGGAGGAGGCTGAGACGGGCAAGGGCAGCGGCGCAGGCAGAGACCTTCAAAGCGGCAGCCCACTCCGTGGTGGCACAGTTGGTTCCCTCCCCCCCTTTCAGCCCCTCCAGCGCTCTTTCTGGATTCATCTCTCTCTTGCGAGGCTTTGAACGCTGCTTGCTGAAGTTTGCGGATCAAAGTCTCTTTATTTCGCCGGCTTTTTCTTCTCTGTTTTTTCAAATCCTCGCCCCCTGGATAATTCTTTCTCGCTCAACTTTTGTACTAATTTATTTTTAAACATGGCCTAACTGCAACTAAGCTGAAGGAAGAGTTTGGGTGAGGGAGAGAAAGAATAATTTATTTTCTAATCTCAGGGCTGAGGGGCAGGGTGGGGGAGAGGAAGGGGAGGGGGTCTAGAGAAATACTGTGCGAGGCAATCCATTTGACAATAGAGTTTATTTAAGAAATCAGGCTCAATGGCCGGAGGCGGGAGGCAGACAAAATGAAGCGGTGCGCGTGTGCTAAAATATTTATACGTACCTTTCAATTCGAGAATCCACAAAGCAGCTAACAGACATGCATTAAACAATACGAGTTAAAAGCAGTATCACAGAAACAAAACACACCAATAAGAGCAGCCAGCAGTAAATCACGGGAAAGCGCTTGGCGCAAATGAAAGGCGGGTAGGACCCCAAAGTGGTCTCCTGAAAAAGCACCGCCTCTGCCTGAGGACAGGAGTCCCGGGAAAGGAGGAGGGAAGCTAATCTTCCTTGGGCGGCGGCTTGGGACCCTGTTTGCAGTTGTGCAGTTTTAAAGTACTTCCTTTAAAAGGAAGTCCTTCTTCACCCAAAGAGTGATTAACACATGGAATTCACTGCCACAGGAGGTGGCGGTGGCTAAGGCTCCCTCTAAGCTGTGGAGTGTTGTGAGCAAAAATTTTACTTTGTGAACTACTGGCGGTAAAGTTGTGAGCGAACGATTTGGCCGCTGTATCAATTAGTTTGCTCTGGAGCCATCCTTCCTGAGTTAAGACAAAATTGTGTGAGCTGGAGGCTAAAAAAATGTGAGCTAGCTCACACTAACTCAGCTTAGAGGGAACACTGGTGGCGGCTACAAGCATGGCCAGCTTCAAAAGCGAATTAGATAAGCATATGCAGCAGAGGTCCATTGGTGGCTCTTAGCCACAAGGTATAGGTAGGGACTCTCGGTCTGGGGCAAGGGATGCTCTGTCTTCTTGGTGCTTGGGGGGGTGGGGGGAACAGTGGGAGGGCTTCTAGTGTCCTGGCCCCACTGCTGGACCTTCTGATGGCACTGGTATTTCTGGCCACTGTGTGACCCAGAGTGCTGGACTAGATGGGCCACTGGCCTGATCCAACATTGGCTTCTCTTATGTTCTTATGCTCTTAAGGCCTCTGGTCTGTGTCTTCCCAATAATACCCTGTGAATGTCTGTGAACTTCTGGTGCTTGTGTGTGTTTGGGTCTGTCTCTTAGACACCGGTTGCAACCTGCATTCCCGTGGGACTTCCGCAAGGTATCCAAACACCCCTCCATGCCGAAAAACCACAATGCGTAGATAGTATTTTATCCCTCTCTAACTCCAAGGAGGAGCCCAGAGTGGCCTACGAAGTACCCCTCTCATTTTTGTCCCCCAATGGCCCCGTCAGGTAGGTTAGGGCAAAAGATATCTGGATATGCCAGATCTGGTCCCCTAGCAGAGGTGCTGCCCTCCGGCAGAAGGAGCATCTTCCAGCCATGTGCAGCATCTCTGCTAGCAGCGTCACAAACTAGATCCAGGTAGTCGGCCATATTGGTCTGAAGCAGTAAAACAAACTTAGAAGAAGAAGAAGAAGAAGAGAAGAGATTGGATTTATACCCCGCCCTTCACTACCCAAAGGAGTCTCAGAGCGGCTGGCAGTCTCCTTTCCCTTCCCCTCCCCACAACAGACACCCTGTGAGGTAGGCGGGGCTGAGAGAGCTCTGGCAGAAACTGCTCTTTTTTTCAAGGACAGCTCTGAGAGAACTGTGGCTTGCCCAAGGTCTTCCAGCCAGGTGCAAGTGGAGGAGTGGGGAATCAAACCCGGCTCTCCTAGATTAGAGTCCGCGCACTTAGCCACTACACCAAACTGGCTCTTTAGAGTTCAGGGGCACCTTGAAGACCGACAAAGGTCTTTTCAAGGTGTGAGCTTTTGTGTGCAAAGCATTCCACTGTATTTGAAAAAGTATGCTTTGCACACGAAAGCTCATACCCTGAATAAGCCTTTATTGGTCTTAAAGGTGCCACTGGACTCTGAATTTGATCTAGTGTCACAAGGTGTCATGGACCAAGGTTACCTGGTGGGTGAATAAATGAATGGAAAATGGGCA